TTTCAACCAATAGTGGTTGAGTATTTTGTCACATTGTAATATCATTTTTGTATTATTTTCTCAAAACCATGTGTATTTATGAAATGTAACAAATGTCCTAAAATACTTACATGTCTTAAATTATTTAATCATTATTTCTAGTAAAAGTCATTGAACATTTTTTCTCAGTGATGTCATTTTTGAATTATGTTATCAAAACTGAAAACTGCAGTTAGTAATCGATGAACTTTGAAATATTACATGCCTTGATAGTTTAGTATTTTTTTAAAACTGTGTTAAATAAACAAATGCGCATAAATACTGCACAGCTTAAAATAGCTACAGTAATTTGTTATGGATGTGTCCCTCTTTGCTGCTTTGAAAAGTAACATGCAACTCTTCCATTTGTAAACTCAGCCTATTACCTGGGCATTACCTGGGCATTCATATCCTTATTGTATGGCAGATTCAGAGATTTGTTAACTGGGAATAAAATCTCAGAATAATAACAGTTTATTAAACTCTCTTGCAGTAACTTTAACTGAATCAATGAGTTATGATACAATGAAAACTTAATAAGATTGACTATGTACATTTCTGTATACATTAAGTACACGTTATCTACACCACACCAGAACATGCATCACATTTGTTAAAAATACTTAAAAGTGAAAAAGTCTTTGGTGCACTTAATTCTACAGGCAGTAACGTTTCTGTAAAAGTACAGCTGGTCTGATTTGTGCCTTAGGGTGTAGGGTCAGGTATTGTCTAGGTGTGTTGTTAGAAGAGGATGAAGAGAGTGGTTAGAGTCCTTCATTTTGCACATATACTCTTTACATATCTTATCTCTTCTATATGCAAGGGTCTCTACAATCACTTTGTATTGAGAGTAGAATTGACATGGCAAGAATCATGTTTACACAAAATACTTCCCAAACCTGCAAATATGAAAGGGTTAGATTGCCATTATACTCTTTAGAGTGGCACTTGGGTCAGTATGCTTACTTTTGTTCTCTTTTTAGTTGCTGAAGTGTGTAAAGACTTCTGAAGTTTTTTATATACTTTTAGTCCTCTAATGGATGAAGTAATTTAGCAACAGTGAGATGTGGATACTTGGCTTTGAGTATTTCCAAAAGTTGACAAGTTGGACTTCCTTCTTTTTTCTTCTTCAAGTATTGAAGATCAAGTTCATTTATCTCCATTACCCTTCCCACTTTTTCAAAGCCACATTCAATATGCCCTTTTAGGGGCACATCAAGTGCTTTAACAAGTATGTCTTCAACATCTTGGGATATGTTGGTCAATTTTAAACCTGTAGGAATTCAAATATATTGAACTAAATTGAATATTTCTCATGAATGACTGAAGGTTCAAAGGAGCTACAAACATCCATTTGTCACATAAATATTATTTACCTTTTGCAAGAGGTGGTCGGTTTTCTGAGAGCAAAGCTGAAGGAAAACTCAGTGAGCTCTGAGAAACATAATGCCCAAGAACAATTCTCTTAGTCTGAATTTCAGCCTTCTCTTCCCTTTACCCCAAGGGGGGGCGTGGGAGAGAGATGGCTGAAATTCAGACTACAATTCTCAGAGCATATGACTGCAATGAATGGAGCCCATTGCTTATGCATCCAATAAACAAAAAAGTGAAAGTAACGTCAGGAGAGGGAAGTTACATGTCGAATATGGTCATGGCTGGTTCCAAGTGTTCTATATTCCAATTTTCGACAGCAAGTAAAAGCCAAAAAAAAAAAAAAAC